CCTGAGCCCAGAGATTCGAGACCAGCCTGGGCAACTTGGTGAGACCTCATCTCTACAATAAATCAAAAAATTAGCAGGGCATGGTGGCGCGTGCCTGTAGTTCTTGGCTACTTGGAAAACTGAGGCAGAAGGATAGCCTGAACCCAGTGGTTTGAGGTTATAGTGGCCATGAGTGCGCCACTGCACTTCAGCCTAGGAGACAGTGAGACTACAACTCAAAAAAAAAAAAAGTGTGGATATGAAATTTGTTGAGGGACAGGATGTTTAATTAACTTCAAAGTATCTTCCCATAAAGCAATTATCAACATACTGACTCACACTGGAGAAACTGGCAGACACTGTTTCAACCATGTTAGTGTAATCAGCAGTGGATTAAATCAACATGTGTGCATCCGGAGAAAACAGTATCTCTTCCATGGTTCCTGCTACAAATGAATCATCCTGTGGAAATATTCAACACATTCAAATGGAAGAACTTTCTACATAATGACTAGCCTGTAATTTTCAAAAGTGTCAAGGTCATGGAGACAAGGAAAGACTGAGGAAAAAGACAACACTTGATCCTGAAGGACTTTTTTTTTTTTTTTTAGTCACTGTCGCACTCTGCCATCCAGGCTACAGTGCAGTGGCACAATCATGGCTCACAGCAGCCTCCAGATCCTGGACTCAGGTGATCCTTCTGCCTCAGCCTCTTTAGTAGCTCCTACTACAGGTGCCTACCATCATGGCCAGCCAATTTTCTTTTTTTTAATTTATTGTAGAGACGAGGTCTCGCCTTATTGCCCAGAATGGTCTGAACTCCTGGATTCAGACAATCCTCTCACCTTGGCCTCCCAAAGTGCTGAGATTACAGGCCTGTATATTAGGTATAATATTACATATAATCTAAAGATAATTTTAAACATACAAGAGGATGTGTGTAGGTTATATGCCAAGAATACACCATTTTATATCAGGTTCTTGAGAATCTGGGGATTTAATATCTAAGAGAGGTCCTGGACCAATTGTGTATAAGATATTTACATGGTTGTAAAGTCAAATATGTAAAACAAGACTATATATTTACAAGGCTGGCTTCTATCCCTGTCCCCTCTGTCCATCTTCCTTCTGTAAGTAACCTTTTAAAATGTGTTATGGGCTGGGTGCGGTGGCTCACGCCTATGATCCCAGCACTTTGAGAGACCGAGTGAGAGGATTGCCTGCGACCACAGGTTCAAGACCAGCCTGGGCAACTTGGGAAACTCTCATCTCTACAATTAACAAAATATATATATAGCCGGGCTTGGTGGCTCAGCCTGTAATCCCAGCGCTTTGGGAGGCTGAGGTGAGTGGATTGCCTGAGCCCGTGGGTTTGAGACCCACCTGGGCAACTTGGCAAGACCTCATGCCTACAATAAGTTAAAAAAAAAAAAATTAGCCGGGCGTGGTAGCGCATGCCTGTGATTCCAGCTACCTGGAAGGCTGAGGTGGAAGGATTGCTAGGGTAATTTTTTTGGTTTATTGTAGAGACGAGGTCTCGCCAATTTGTCCAGGCTGGTCTCGAACCCCGGGCTGAGGCAATCCTCTCGCCTCCGCCTTCCAAAGTGCTGGGATTGCAGGCGTGAGCTTGTCTACTACATCCTTCGAGTAGATCCGGTGCATGAATGAATGAATGACTGAACGACGAATCAATGATGGTAGTTTTGGGCTCCTCCAAGGCTCCCTAACCCCTCTAGGTTTCTGTTTTTCCTCTGTGAAATGTGATCGTACGGTCTCTCCTTTCCCTGGAACTGATGAGAAGTGTAAGGCAATACTTGTGCAGGTCAGTCACCTTGCCTGGTGGCAAGTTGAATGCCAGAACGGTTTTATTTATTCAGGGGCACTGGCGGTCTGCAGGTGGCGCAGCCAGCTCCGCTCGCGCCCAGGGCCGGGCCGGGGCGGGGCCAGCTCCGGGGGCGGGGCCAAGAAGCGGCGGGGGCGGGGCCAGCGGTTGCGGCGCCGCGG